TTCATATTTGTTAGTGATTACCAGTACAGTGGACCCCCGAGTTGCGTGAGCCTCACACTTCGTGAATTTCAAGTTTCAGCAACATTTTTCGTCAAAATAAAGCCTCGTGGTTCGTGATTTGCCTAGCAATTCATTCGTCGTATGGAACGCGTCAGTGCAACCGGGAGAGGCTGGGCATACACAAAGGCTCCCACAAAACACTCAGGAGTCAGTGTGGCATTGTTTGTGGACAAGTGACCATCACCCCACGCGTTCATACGATACATTTCGTAATAATCCATTGTTTTTTGTGCTTGAAACTGCTAAATATGCCACCATGGGCCCAAAGAAAGCTTCTACTGCCAGCCCTTTGGTAAAGGTGAGAAACTTGATAGAATTAAAGAAAGAAATCATCGCAAAATATGAAAGTGGAGTGCACGTGGCCGAACTCAGCAGGATATACGGGAAGCCCCATTCAACGATCACTTCCACCATGTTGAAGAAAAAGGAAATCAAGGAAGCCGTTGTTGCGAAAGGGGCAGATATGCTCACCAAAAAGAGATCGCAAATACTCGAAGATGTTGAGAATTTGTTGTTGGTGTGGATCAACCAAAAACAATTAGCAGGACAATTACCAGTCAATAATTTGTGGAAAAGCAAGGCAGGTGCATGCCAATCTCGTAAAGAAAATGCTTGGAACAAGTGCTGATGTTAGTGAATTTAAGGCCAGCAAAGGCTGGTTTGAGAGATTAAGAAGCATAGTGGCATACACAGTGTGGTAAGGCATGGTGAGGCTGCCAGTACTGACAAGCGTGTGGCTGAAAAATTCGAGCAGGAATTCAAGGACTATGTAGAGGCTGAAGGATTCATCCCCCAACAAGTGTTCAATTGTGATGAAACAGCCCTCTTTTGGAAGAAAATGAAAAAGAGGACCTACATCACATAGGAGGAAATGGCACTGCCAGGACACAAGCCTGTGAAAGACAGGCTAACTCTCACATTCTGGTGTATCACTGAAAATCCCAGTGTTCAAGAAAAATAGTGCTGCCAAGAGTAAATTGTGTGTCATGTGGAAGGCTAACAGTAAGGCATGGGTCACAAGGGAAATTTTCCTTGACTGGTTTAATGAAGTGTTTGGCCCGAGTGTAAAGAAATACCTCCTGGATAATAAATTGCCACTCAAGTGCCTCCTGGTAATGGACAATGCTCCTGCTCATCCTCCAGACTTGGATGACTAAATGGTGGAGAAGTTTAGTTTCATCACACTGAAGTTCTTGCCCCCTTAATACCACTCCTCTCATCCAGCCCATAGACCAGCAGATCATTTCCAACTTCAAAAAACTCTACACCAAAGCAATGATTCAAAGGTGCTTTGATGTGACCTCAGACACTCGACTGACCCTAAAAGAGTTCTGGAAAGATCACTTCAATATCCTCCATTGCATAGGCCTTATAGATAAGGCTTGGCAGGGAGTGACTTCCAGGACTTTGAACTCTGCTTGGAGAAAATTGTGGCCAGATTGTGTACTTGACGAAGATTTTGAAGGGTTTGAGGCTGACCCTGACAACCTTATGCCAGTTGTGGAATCTATTGTGGCATTGGGGAATTCCATGGGGTTGGGTGTGAGTGGCCAGCATGTGGAAGAGTTGGTGGAGGTCCACAGTCAAGAGCTAACCACTGAAGAGCTGCAAGACCTTCATCTGCAACAGCAACAGACCACAGCTGAGGAAATTGCTTCAGAGGAGGAGGAAGAGAGATGGAAGGTGCCTTCTTCAAAGCTCAGGGACATTTGTGCAAAGTGGAGTGAGGTGCAAACATTTTTGGAGGAATATCACCCTGACAAAGCTGTTGCAAGCTATGTCAGCAACATGTACAATGACAATGTCTTGTCCCATTTGAGGCAAATTTTAAAGAGATGCCAGAAACAGAGCAGTCTGGAACAATTTTTTGAGTGACAGGGTATAGGTTTTTAGTGCAACAGGGGTCCAGTGCCAGGGAAGTAACTCCGAATAGGGCCTTGATACCCGAAGTCCTTATGGAGGGGGATTTCCCATCCAAACAATAACCTTTCCTCCTCTTTCTCCTCTCCTCACCGTCTTCCATACGCCAACAAGTCTTTAATAAAGGTAAAAGTGACGTTAAATGTTCATTTATCCATTTCATTAATCATTTATATTTATTTCCCATTGTTTTCTGTATGTAAAACTATATTCTCTATAAAATGTATTTTTTTGTTAATATTTTTGGGTGTCTGGAATGGATTAATTGGATTTACATTATTTCTTATGGGAAATATTGCTTCAGTTTTCATACAATTCAGTTTTCATCAGACTTTCTGGAACGAATTAATCACGAAAATCAAGGTTCCACTGTATATACAGCCCTCGATAAAAATGAATATCCCCTGGGGGCTCTTCATTGACCTATGGAAAGCATTTAATACAGTGGACCACAATCTCCTGCACCTAAAACTAAATGATTACAGCATCAGAGGACATTCCCTCGATTACCTAAAATCTTATCTTAATGATAGACACCAGTATGTACACGCAAATGGAGTCAACTCCACTATCCAGCCTGTAGGTGTCGGAGTGTCCCATGGTAGTGTAATTGGCTCACTCCTCTTTCTCATCTACATCAATGATCTCCACAAAGCATCCCAACTCCTTAAACCAGTTCTATTCACAGATGACACTACTTATGTCTACTCCCACTCAAACCCAGATATACTTAGAGACACTGTAAACAATGAGCTGCTAAAAATATATATTTGGATGATGACCAACAAACTCACTCTCAACACAGAAAAAACATACTTCATGCTGTTTGGAAACAGAGCCTTAAATATCCAACTTAATATATCAATAAATGGTTTCCCTTTTACAAGACACACTGCGGGTAAATTTCTAGGTCTTCTCCTTGACTGTAATCTTAAATTTCATTCCCACATCAAGTATATATTCAAGAAAATTTCCAAATTAGTAGGCATCCTTTCCAAGATATGATACTACGTACCCCACACGACACTCCTTACCCTATACCACTTTTTAATAAATCCCTACCTCACCTATGGTATTTGTGCTTGGGGATCAACCACAGCCAACCACCTTAAACCTTTAATAACCCAACAAAAAGCTGCTGTGCAGACGATTACCAGCTCCTGTGCTAGACAGCACGCCCCACAACTTTTCAAAAGCCAGAAATTGCTAAATATGCGAGACACACTCATTGTGCCTACTCCAGGTATACAGATTATTAAACTCAAATATAAATCCTCCACTTAAACTTCTCCTTGATAGCTACAACAGAACGCATAGTCACAATACAAGGCTCCTGGCCCCACAAGGGGCCTGGAGCCTTGCAACCACAATTAGGCGAGTACAATTAGGTGAGTACACTATGGAAAAATGCAATGCACATAAAGGGCCCGAAGATCTGGAATTCACTACTTGAACTGGTAAAGGATCACCTGACTATTTATAAATTTAGGACTTTGCTTAAAAATCATCACACCTCTCAATACTAAACAAAACAACTTCAAATCAGTTGTTATATTACATGACCTCTAGTCTATTAAACATCTGCCAATCCATGAAATATTACTGCTTGAACCATTAGAACAATTAAAATAATGAATCCTAACTAGTCATAAGTTTGCCTGTGATACTCCAATATAGAAACTATGTATTGTACCAAAACAAAAGCATTCACATTGCTAAATTCACAAACTATAATGTAGTCACTTAGCCTTAACACCAACTTACTCCACAATCTGTAATAATTTTGAGTTAAGAATTACTCTAAGTCTGCCCGAAATGCTTAGCCATGCTAGGTGTCATAGTGGCCCCCTCTATAATTAGTATTTTATAACATGTAAACCACACAATATCCAAAATCTGTAAACCCCGCATTGTAATCTTCATAGAAAATAAACCTGACTGACTGGTTGATTGATTGATTAATTGTGATACAGTAATGCTTTTATTATGTGCAACTTCAAGATTATTATTCTTATAAACCTCCACCTTGACTACCTTGCATTAGTATTAAGATTAAATAAAGATTTTAATAAAAGTTAACTACTCTCATCTTGTCTAGATTTAAGTAGTTATTATGTACTAGGATTAATCTACCTGAAATGACCCGGCATGATAATGGTTTTCTTTGTACTTAGCAAACCAAAATTGTAATTACACATTGTAACCTTTACAAAGAAATAAAATCATTACCATTATCATTTATTTGCTGGCACTAATATCTGTTGTTCTGGAGTGGAGGCCAGTGATCGTGCTTCCACTCCAGAAGTATTTTGAGTTGGTTTAAGATTTCTGCCATTTCTTGCCAGTTTTTTCTTCCTGGCACTAAAAACCCACTTTCTCTTGGGTGGGTTTGGCTCTCCTGGTTTGTTTCCCATGGCCTGGGTGATCTGTATCTTCTTGTTCCCTTTAGATGGTGTGCTTGACAATATATGCTGAAGCACTGGATTTCATGGAATGATGAGTGACACATTTCTGGGTGAAATAAATTACAAGAAGAGTTGCATTCTCCTGTTGTCATGTGGGTGCAGCATTTTTTTGGATGATCAAAATTGCACATCCTACCTGTTTTTCCAGATATTCCACAACTGCAGATACCCAAGGCATAGAATTTGCATAAATTTAATTTCTGTTTGCCAGGATTTTTTTGTAGCTGCATTCATTACTGGTGTATTTTTTTTTTTTTATCTCCCCATTATGTACAGCCCCTGTACTAACATCAGTGCCTCCACCAGTTTTTACAAGTGATGCATCAACACAATTCCCCAAAGCATCATCCCTTTTATTTCATCTCCAGCAGTATTGCTACTTTGTATCTCTGTTATTACATATCTAAACATTTAAACATAAATACATGTACATATGCTGTAATTAGCATAACTGTATACTGATAAAAAAAAATCTATGATTACCATAAAAATACAATGGGAGAATCCAAGTTGCTCTAGTTTGCATACAGATGAATAAGAGCTATAAGCACTTACTAAAGTATCTCCTTCTTGGTGAAGTATGTCAGTTCCTGGAAGAAAGCAAGCTGCTGTTACTACAATACTAAAATTATTAAAACACCTACCAGTAAATGAAAATTATTAAAATTACAGTGGTACCTCGGGATACGAACAGCTCAAAACTCAAACAATTATGTAAGTGTAATTATGTAAGTGCTTTTGTAAGTGCATTTTTGGGGGTCTGAAACGGACTAATTTAGTTTACATTATTCCTTATGGGAACAAATTCGTTTGGTATTGACACTTGAACAGCCTTCTGGAACGAATTAAGTTCGTATCCCGAGGTACCACTGTACTGAGAAATTTATAAATATATAAGTACAGTACAGAATTAATGTGCTTTTGAGTCCATGTGATTTGCTTACTGAACATTTTCAAGTGAATTTTGTTTAAAGTTCAAGAAACTGCAATCTTGATTCCAGATTTCATCAACAGATTGAAAATCTGAAGGAAAAATCACATTTAATACAATATTAGGGCCCACCTCAGGTGCAATATATGGAGTCCCTTTGTCTCGGAGAAGTGAAATCATTTCTAGGAATGGTCAAGGGACCCTTCTTAGAATCCACACGTGTACTAGTCTTCTCCTACCACCCCATATACAGTGGAACCTCGGTTGTCAAACTTAATTCAGTTCGATAACCAAAATGATCAACAATTAAACCAATTTTTCCCCTAAAGAATAATGTTAATAGAATTAATCCTTCCAGACCAAAAATGACAATACAGTACAGGTTATCCACCAGTAATCCGGCAATCAGTAATCCAGCACTAATTTCGGCTAGCATAATTTCAAACTTCCGGGGTTGCAACACCAACCTGCCACTACTGTTTGGTGGCATTACTTGCTGCATACCTGGGGTTTACCTGGAGAGGGTTTCGGGGGTCAATGCCCCCCGCGGCTCGGTCTAAGACCAGGCCTCATGGTGGATCAGGGTCTGATCAACCAGGCTGTTACTGCTGGCCGCACACAAACTGACGTATGAACACAGCCCGGTTGGTCAGGTACTGAATTTAGGTGCCTGTCCAGTGCCTTCTTGAAGACACCCATAATCCCCTTTATGTATGCTGGGAGGCAGTTGAACAGTCTTGGGCCCCAGACACTTATTGTGTTCTCTCAATGTACTCATGGCACCCCTGCTTTTCATCGGGGGAATGTTACATCTCCTGCCGAGTCTTTTGCTTTCATAGGGAGTGATTTTCATGTGCAGGTTTGATACCAATCCCTCCAGGACCTTCCAAGTGTATATTATCATGCATCTCTCTCGCCTGCATTCCAGGGAATATAGATCAAAGACCTTCAACCGTTCCCAGTAATTTAGGTGCCTTATCGTACTTATGTGTGCCTGTTGCGCTTAGGGCAATAAGAAAGCCTATTAAGCCCTTCAAGCAGCAAGGAACAGGAAAACATATCCTGCTCAAAGTCAAATTCATTCAAGGTTCAATTGGAAATAATTTTTAAGGTTCTTTCTGATAATTATCAAGTTGCTTAATAAACCGCAGAAGTGTTTCATGCTATTTCTTTACAAGGCAACACTATAAAATATAACATTCATAAGATATTTACACTGAGATATTGACACAAACATAACAGCCTTTTTCTAGAATACATCTCAGTGGGTGTGGAGTCTTAACACGTTCAAATTCACTAACACTTTACTTTTCTCAGAACACAGTGTATCCACTACTCTCATCCAACTTGCAATGGTCTCCACCAAAACATTTAATACACATATCGATAGTCTCTACACTCAATACACATATCGGCACTGTCAATATGAAATGAGTTTGTTGATGCAACTGACTGCGAGGGGTAACTCCTTGAACTCCTCACACTAAAGACACTTAAGTGCTTCTTGAGGATATAGTGACAATCAAGAGTGCCTTAATACAGCCATCCACACTCCATCCGAGGAACTCTGGTACAAGGCTGACCAGTGTTGGAGGATCATGAAGGAACCTCAAGAGGCGCCCAAGGTTAGCTCCAGTAAGCAAGGTGTGACACTCCAAAGGTGAGGGTGAACTGTGTCGTCTATGAGAGACCAGCTGATGACTCAGTGAGGTCAACCCCCACAGCCCCAACATTGGGTGTAATGACGTTGGCTCACAGTGGTATGGTAGACACTGGCAGGTAAACCAGTGAACTGATAGTTAACCGAACATTTTCCCTTTTGGAGAGCTAACCACAATTCTCAAACATAAAATGTAAATGTTGCATCCTACCTAAGACATAGCTAAATAAAATAATAGTATAAAATAAGATATTTTCATTTTAGTTAATAATGAAAATATCTCCAATATACAATTATGATAAAATAAACACAGACTATTAACCCTTTGACTGTTTCAGGCCCCTCTCTGAAACTGTCATTCTATGTCGCCAAATATTCAAAAAAAAAAAAATTATTTTTTCTTATGAAAATGTTAAGATTATTTTTCTGAGTGTTTTAGTCCAAAAAAAAATTTTTTGCCATCGGTACTTACCGAGATATAGAGCCGTGAAGTTTGCAGAAAATGAGCCGCGTATGGCAACAGCGGCGACTGCCGCTCACCCGGTAAACTTTAGTTTACTTGTAATTGAAGGTTTTTTGTTTTTTTCACTATTTTATTTTTTCACATAACTTATGTGGCCTATGAGACCAAAGTAAGGTGCAATGTATATATATACACTCGTTGTATACAACACAATAAGCACACAAACATAATTATCAATATATTGTTTACAAAACTTGTTTACAAAAACAAACAAACAATCATCCTCCTCCTCCTCCTTCTCCTCCTCCTCCTCCTCCTTCCCTTCCTCCTTCTTCTCCTTCTCCTTCTCCTCCTTCTCCTCCTCTTCCTCCTTCCCTCCTCCTTCTCCTCCTCCTCCTCCTCCTCCTCCTCCTCCTTCTCCTCCTCCTTCCCTCCTCCTTCTTCTCCTCCTCCTTCTTCTCCTCCTCCTTCTTCTCCTCCTCCTTCTCCTCCTCCTCCTTCTCCTCCTCCTCCTCTCCTCCTCCTCCCTCCTCCTCTCCTCCTCCTCCTTCCCTTCTCCTTCTCCTTTCCTTCCCTTCTCCTTCTTCTCCTTCTCTCCTTCTTCTCCTTCTTCTCCTTCTTCTCCTCCTCCTCCTCCTCCTTCTCCTCCTCCTTGTCTTGTGTGCGAGTGTGTGGCTTATAATTGTTTTGAGTCAGAAGTCGGCAGCTGTCAAAGTGACATATTGTCTCATTAGTCAGTCCCCCTACCGCCTGTCAAAACAATGGGGTCGGATGCTGCTTCCCCTCCTCCATTCTATCTAATTATCTTTCTCCCTCATTCTATATCTTTCAATCTGTCTCTCTTTCTATCTGTCTGCCTATCTCTGTCTCACAGGTACACATAAATACAAGTATACATAGTGTAAATTACCTAGGATAACCCAAGAAATCCAGACAAAGTGCTATACTCTGCTTGAAGATGTGAGTAAACGTGATGACACAGTCTTGTGGCTCTCTCTGAGACAGAGAGCTAGATGGACAGACAGGGAGCTTGACAGACAGACAAATAGACAGACAGAAATGTTTGTGTACCAGCAAAAACAAAGGGAGGGCGATGGTCATGTAATATTACCCTCCTCGTTTATGCTCATCAAAGTCAGCTCTTATCAGATGTTATCTCCCCTTATCTTGTCACTGTCATGGGGTGGACTTTTTTTTTTCTTGCTTCAAGGGAACAATATTATTACATCTTCTTCTTCCTCCTCCTCCTCTCTCCTCCTCCTCCTCCTCCTCCTCCTCCTCCTCCTCCTCCTCCTCCTCTTCCTTCCCTCCTCCTCCTCCTCCTCCTCCTCTTCCTCCCCTCCTCCCCCTCCTCCTCCTCCATTGCTTTTGGTCTCAAACTCCTCCAAATCATGAAATTGATCTTCACTGACACTTCCATCTGTGTTAGAGCATCACTTGGGAAGAGAAGAGTCCCAGATTTACTGGGGAATCACATATTTCTTACCGCTAGACATGCTGAAAAAGGACAACTGAAATGGCATTCCCACAATGCACCACTGGCTCCCCGATTTTTTTTATATGGTGCACACTGACCATGGAGACCCATTCTCTCACATGTGGGCCTACCAGCTTTCTCCTACTTGATTTGAAGCTGCTAGAATTTATGCGTATAAATACGTCAGAAACATTGGCTCGTAAGACGTATTTATACGTCGGAAACAGTCAAAGGGTTAAAGATACAGAATATTAAATAAACAGATTAGTTCAGGGTCCACAACAGTGCCATGAAAGTTCTTTGTACGCTCTCCAGGTCTGCAATGTCTCCAGCCTTGAAGGAGGCTGTTAGTGTACCATAGTCATTCCAATTTCTTTTTCTCCATTTGCTATAACTTGCTCACTTTTAGCCCTAGCCATGGTTCCAATGACTAAAAGAAATGCATCATGTTGTGTAAAGCACATACACCATACACTGTCCATAAAAGATAAGGTGGCTTTCAAGCCACTGTTGGTCACTCAGATAAGCTGTGACCAGTAAATTTAGGCCTACATACAAGAGAATAGGTCTGTATGGTATGTGTGCATTCTATAAAAAAATATCCTGCAGCACGTAGTGCATAATGAGGAAAATAGGCGACTGCTTTTGGTGTTAAACAGCAACTATGCGGTGTATTTTCATATGGTTTGTATGATTGTATTCTCGGTTTTTTGGTCTTATTTGATAGAATGCAAGATATACTACAGAAATATAGTACTATATAAATTTGATTGGTTTCATGCCGGGAAGTACCTTAAAGTTGAGCTCAAATTAGCGGTAATGTTCGATTTTTGCCAATGTTCAAGAGTAAATAAATGACATCTCCATCCAATGCATGTCCAACTGGCCAGTCTAATACACAGTCACAAATGGGTTGACATTATTTATATAATTATTACAATAATGCAGTAGTCTGCATAACAGTAAATCTTCTATTTTTTGTGTGAATAAAAATTCAATTTCGAAAGCAAGCGTAATATAAGAGGGGCCTGGAGACATGACTAATGAACAGAGAAAATG